ATGAAGATGACACACATTTTTGCGTATCATAAATTGAAATGTTTAAAAAAAATAAATTTATATATTTATTAATTTTTAAATTAAATTTGCATTTAATTTCTCATAGTAGAAATAAAATACCATATACAAAAAATACAATCCATTGCATAATATAAAATAAAATTTCATACTCAAAAAATAAAATAAATTACACAAATTGTAATGTCATACAAAGAATCATTATGTAACAGCCCGGATCCCCAGGTATCTTCATTTCTTTTATATTTTGACATTCTGTGAGGGGACTCGGCGAGTCGGTGGTTGAACTCGCCGAGTCGGGTCGCGGTTTTTAGCGGGGGTTCGCGTCCGGACTCGGCGAGTCCAAGGGATGGACTCGACGAGTCCGCACTGTTTAATGAAACCCTAATTTCCCGGTCCTAAGCTCTATTTAAAGGACCTTATGGCCCTCATATGCGGCCACCTTGAACCCTAAGAGCCTCCATACGTCTGTAAGCCCTTGTGTGTGTGTTTGAAGGCCTTTTGTTCTTCATTTTTGTGTTAGTGCAAGGAAAGGAGGGAGAGGAGCAAGCTTGAAGTGTTGGGGAGCTTAGATCTGTTGCTATTTCATCAAGGGGGTCTTCTTGAGGTAACTTTCTGAGCCAATCTTCGTGTTTTGTGTTGATGGGCCAAATCTAGGGTTTCTTCTTGCATTTCTTGGCTTGAATAAGAAGTATGAGAGGTCCCATGGGGATATGGGACCTAGATCTGGACTTTAGCAGGTCCAGGAGACCCCTTATGACAAGCTTTATGCCCATCCTTTTGAGTTAGAAGTTAAACTTGCCATATTAAAGGTTGTTTCTTCAAAATAAGCCTTGTATGCATTGCATGGCAACCAAGACTGAGACTTTACGTGACAAATAAGCTTGGGAAGGCCAGATCTATGTATTTATGGAACGGATCTGACCGCAAAAGCCAGTTTTAGCTGGTGCATGGCATGGACTCGCCGAGTCTGAAGAACAGACTCGACGAGTCACTTGAAGATTGTCCTTGAGACCATCTTGTGTGTAGACTGGACCGAGTTGTGGGCGACTCAGTGAGTCGCAGAGAGTTGGAAAGGTTTTGACAGGTGGACCGAGTCAGGATGGGACTCGCCGAGTTGCCTTCGACTCGGCGAGTTGAGTCGCGGTGGCCCTGTGATTCAGGCCCAGGTGGAACTCGTCGAGTCGGGGGAGTACTCGACGAGTCAAAGGGAAAATTCTTGAGAGTTGGTAAAAACGCGTAGACTCGCCGAGTCACTATTGTGCACTCGCCGAGTCTAGTCCAAATTGACTAAAGACTGTTGACCAGGTCAACCTGTGTTGACTTGATTTGGATGGTCCACCTTAGTGGTACAAGTAATATTTATAGATTTATAATATCGTAGGAGGATTGCAGCTCGAGGGTTCGAGCCCGAGTGATTCCAGGATTTACGATTAGCAACTTAGCGAGGCATACGAGGTGAGTCTTCTCACTATACTGTACCCGGAAGGGTTTTGACTATGTGACCGGAAGGTCGAATATGATATGGAATATATGCTTTATGTGTGTTAAGTTATTTGCTATATGTGTCATGTATGATATGTTTGATATGGGCCGGAAGGCGTGGTCATATGGACTGTAAAGGTTGATGTGGGTAGGACCGGAAGGTTTACCCAGTCGGGACGGAAGTCCCCTGAGACACATGGACCGGAAGGTCAAGGCCTGGAAAGGCGTATGTGCGTATGTTGTATTTTGGGAACTCACTAAGCTTTATGCTTACAGTTGTTGCTTTATGTGTTTCAGGTACGAGTGAGGACCGTGGGAAGGCGCCAGCGTGACCGTACACACACTCGGGGAAACTATTTTATCTTTTGTTATGTAATCGTTTGAGACTACGACGTTATTTTGGGAATCTAAACTAATTACTCATGTCTTGATGGTTGTAAAAATGAAAATTTTTGGTTGGAAATTTTATGACGTTACAAGTTGGTATCAGAGCCTTGGTTTGAGGGATTCGGGTACACCTTCGGGCGTAACTGGACTCAAACCGGGGATTGGAGAAAATTGTTTTTACAAAAAATTTAATTTAATTAATTAAAATTTAAATTTTGAAAGGTGAGACGACCAAAGAAGAAAAAGTGTGTACGGTCAGCCAGCGCCCGAACGGTAAAAATCCCCAAAATACTCTTATTATATGTGTTACGATATATGATATGATATGATACGCATGCTAGTAGACTAGGTATACATATTAGGGCTAGAGTGGCCTGATTTTGTGATGCCTTAGTCTAGGAAAACTTGCTTCTATGAGGTGCTCGAGAGCGAGTGAGTAACAAGAGTATGAAAAGAATAGAGTGCTCAGGATTCGAGGTTGGGGAGGATGACTTGGGTGAATACCGACGCGGTGTAACTGGCAG